GGGGGGGTGTCAAACTTGTTTTGAAAAGCACTTTCCCTTTTATTCTTGATAAAATGAGGTCGACTGAAAGCAAAATCTGCGAAACCCCCAGGGTTTTCAGATCGCTGTTGAGAGAGATTGTTCAAATATCGGAGAAAAAAACATTAGGGATTCTTCTTTTTTTTTTTTCTGGTTCACCGCTATTTTCGGATTAATCGTGTTGCCTGCCTGCAACTACTGTTGGAAAGTGTCTAACATATCGTATGTTGTGAGTGCAGTGGATTTGTGTAAAGAGGTGTTTATTTATTTCTTTCCCCTCAAGTGTGGAAACTTTTGGGCCCCAGCCCTGTGTATTTATTGACATTTACTGACTGTTGCTTGTATATGGTTGTTTTTAAGGACGAGCGGGCTACCCAGATTTCGAAGGTTTCCAGAAATCTTGACCTACACCAAAAGTGGGCATTGCCCTGCCTATAGGAGAAGTTTGGTTTCTTTGGTGTGTATATTTGTTTGGTTATAGAGAAATCTCTCTTTGTCTTTTAAAGAAACTGAACAATGGTTCAAAAACTGTACCTTCGATTTTCTCACAACAGTTTTTCTTGGGATAGCCCTCTTGTGCTTAAAAGTGACCATATTATGAATGTTACTGAATGTTCCTTGTGGTTGCTGTAGGGGCCAAGGAGATGTTCAAGTTTCTCTTTTGCAGAGGTTTCCATGAGTCTATTATTCTTTTTTTTCATCTTTGTATTGTTTATGAGTGATTGTGTTCGGTTTTATAGACGTGGTGTCTACCGGACTCGTAATCGTGAGATTGTGGGTTCGGGGGGTTCGAGCCTCAGCTCGGTCCAACGCTGTGTCCTTGGGAAAGGTACTTTACACGAATTTCCCAGTTGGCTCGGTCCTTTCGGAGTAGGACGTTAAAACGCAGAGGTCCTGCCTCTTAATTAATCTATTAATGTTGATAGGGGCATTAAAACCTGTACCATTTCTCCATTTCAGACATGTCGTCTGTTGGTTTTTATAACTCCTATCGGCTGGAAAAATAAACTCTTATGTTTATTTTGTTTACCCCATCGCAACATAACGACATAAAACTTGTCGTTTTCTCCTCCCTTGATTAAATACTTATTTCCATCCAGTCCTCCTGTTTATGATATTGATCAAGTGAGAAATAGACATGATGATATTTCCTTTCTTTGTGAGAATTCAACACTTGAAGGTGTATTTTTCAAAGTGGCAACGCTTTGTATCTCCAACAATTTTTTTTATTTTTAGAGTCTAAATCTCTTTCCATATCAAGATTGTTTTACAAATCCCTCTCTCTCTACAGCACACCTGCTTTTTCTGCATTCAATCTCGCCTTCCACCTCCTCGATGTTGCAGGTGGTAACTAATTTTTTTAGTAGTATGTTCGAGATGAATCTAGATAATACACTGTTGGTTATACCGAAACTTACGCAAATTCTGAGCAGCAGCGGCACATATTTAGCTCAGATTGTTCAGGAAAATCCTTGAAATGCGTTCTGGCTGATAGGAGTTGAACCATTTGTCTGTGTGTCGCCACTGACCGCTTTGAGCTACCGGCTGATAGTGACAAAAAATCACTTTTTTTTCCAACGATATGTGTTTCCTTAAATAAATGATAGTTCCATATTTTTTACGATGTGTTAAAAGGGTTTTCATTGATTTGACCTCAAAATATTTTCTTTTTAATAATTTTCTAGGGTATTTTTTAAAGAGATAATGAAGACTGCTTTTGAAAGGTGATAAAATTTATTTTTGAAGTATGTTTTCTCTTCTCCCTTATGTTTCACCTTTGAATTCTAATCATGATATTGATGTCAACTGAATGCCAAATTGGAAATGAAATTTCCTCAAATAAATACATGAGAAACTATTAAATCATCGGGTTTTTTTCAAATTTGTATGTGTCCTATACTTGAAAGCTAATTTTTTCAAAATTAGATCTTTATACCCTACCTCGCAAAATGTGCAATATCTCAAAAAACTACCTTGAGATATCTCAAAAATTAAAAAATCACTGTGTTCAGCATTGAATGTCCTATTAGGTACAACCCTTAACCCAAAATGGTCAAAATCCGACTTTTTGTACCTTTCTTTAGGCACACACACATTTATCAAACAGTACTGAGCACTCATATGACGGTATGCAGTTGTGAGCGCCGTAAAACTTTTACAAAACGCACAGAACTACTGGAAGTTTCACACCGTGTGGCTGACATTTGTGTCAATACATAGTGGAATCAGGTGCTTGTCAATTTTGGGACATATGAGGTTATTGGTGTCACCTTAAAGCCTGTTCATTTGCCTTACTTTTGGTGAGGTGGTGTCGGTGGCCTAGTGGTTAGGCGACTCGCAATCGTGAGATTGCGGATTCGGGGGTTCGAGCCTCCGCTCGGTCCGACGTGTCCCAGGGAAAGGCACTTTACACGAACTTCCCACTTGGCTCGGGCCTATCGGAGATGGACGTTAAACTAGGAGGTCCCGCCCCTTAAATAACCTAATAGTGTTAAAAGGGGCGTTAAACCCATACCATTTCCCCATTTTTCATTTTTTACTTTTGGGGACAAAAATTATCCGTCTTTCTTGAATAAAAATCAAAATATTTGCAATAGATTGAGGTCTGGGTGGCCTGATTTCAGAGGTAAAATTGGTGATAAAATGGCTGCCAAAGTTTGGTAACTTCCATAGCCTGGGAGTCCTTGTAAACTGAAAATTGATATTTTTTGTACCTTTAATCAATGCTTTCCCGTAAAATCCAGACCAAAATGTGTTCTTAATTAACGTAAAAGATGTTGAGTCAAAAAAAGAAAATTCGAAAAAATTGCCCATCGGCCACAAAAATGCTGATTTATTTGATTTCATAATTTTGACGAGCACCTGATTTCACCTCGATTCCCCGCATTCGTATTATTTGTATTGTTGTGTAGATGGGAAAGATTTGAGAGCCAGCGATGTGCGCCTTCTCAGGAAGGAAAAGTGCACTTTCCCCTGCAATCTGTTATAAGAATACAGTATAATAACACTGATAGGTCGAACAGAGAAGGCTCGAAATAACGCATCCGTCGAACTGTGCCTGCGGTCCCGGGTTTTTTTTTCTCCTTCTTTATCTTTGTAAGATATCCCTCGAACAACGGACCCCTCGAACTACTGAGGCCGGTCCCGACGAATTCATGCTATCAGTGTTATACTGACATTGTGTTATACTGTATCGTGTTATACTGTATGTGTTATACTGTATTGTGTTATACTGTATTGTGTTATACTGTATCGTGTTATACTGTATCGTGTTATACTGTATCGTGTTATACTGTATTGTGTTATACTGTATCGTGTTATACTGTATGTGTTACTGTTAGGCATCGTGTTATACTGTATCGTGTTATACTGTATTGTGTTATACTGTATGTGTTATACTGTATTGTGTTATACTGTATTGTGTTAGGCATCATGTTATACTGTATTGTGGTATACTGTATTGTGTTAGGCATCATGTAATACTGTATTGTGGTATACTGTATTGTGGTATACTGTATTGTGGTATACTGTATCGTGGTATACTGTATCGTGGTATACTGTATTGTGGTATACTGTTTCGTGGTATACTGTATCGTGGTATACTGTATTGTGGTATACTGTATTGTGGTATACTGTATCGTGTTATACTGTATGTGTTAGGCATCGTGTTATACTGTATTGTGTTATACTGTATGTGTTACTGTTAGGCATCGTGTTATACTGTATTTTGTTATACTGTATTGTGTTAGGCATCGTGGTGAAATCAGGCGTCAAAACAATGAAATCAAAGTAACCGACATTTTTCTGGGCGTTTGACAATTCTTTTTTTTTAATTCCTTTTTTCTGGCTCAACACCTTATATGTCCTTTTTAAAACCCATTTCACATGTGGACGTTGCAGAAAAACATTCATTTAAGGCACAGAAATGTAAATTTCCTGTTTCCAAGGACACTCAAGGACACGCAAGGACACTCAAGCCTTGGAAGTCACCAAAAACTTTGACAGCCGTTAATTTCTCGCTAATTTTACCTCTGACACCTCCTTCAGTCGCAAATATCTCGACTTCTATTCAAGATGGGTATTATTATTTTTTTTACCAACGCGAGACAAATTAAATGAGCAAGCTCTTTAAGATGATACTAATAACTTTATATTGTGCTTAGACTTTGATGAGAGCGCCTGATTCCACCATGTTGTGACACATTTTTTTAAAAACACCAATGCTGTTTGTGAGTTGTGGGTGGTTGGCGGCTGCTCTGGTGTGGTTTGCTTCTTCTTTCCTGTCACACATCTCTCGTCCTTATCTCCCCTTCTTCTTTTTTGTGTTTGTTACTCTCT